TTACAAGTATGAGTTTTAACCTCAGTACACTGCTCCTCAATTTCATGTTTTAGTTTGAGAATATACTCGCAGCTCACATCCATATTGTTCAAAGCAGTTGCAATCTCAGTTCCAGTGTTTTCCACATCGATACCACCTAAGAACAACCTAGCACCAAAGTTATGCTCTCTAATCTTCTCTTGTAAAGCTTCATGGTAATAATTACTCAACAAGCTACCAGCGTTGCTCAATACAGCAACCACAGAACTGATGTTCGAAGTTGAGATCGCTCTTCTCAGACAACTCTGCAACACGTAGAACACATCGTCCACCATTGAAGTGGTAAGACTGTCTGGTACATGTTCATCGATTCTTATAGCCTTCCTCACATTCTCAACCATAAAGAATCCTTCTAGTATCACATAGAACCCTGTAACATCCTGAATCACTTTGCTAAAACCTCCATTTCTAAACGCTTTCGTAGCTCTCGGCAACAACTCAGGTTCCACAGACATCAAAGACTTGATCTTTGAGACCATGAACTCAGTGTAACCCTCACCCAACTGCATTAACGACAGTATCTCCTCCGCATAGAGCTCAACTTCTCTCGGGTCTGGTCCTTCAGACGCACCACCAGCAAGCAGACTAAAGTTGTTGATATCAGACGCTAATCTAGGTAACTTTCTAAACTCCATATACTTCTTCAAGATCAACGAACCTCTAGAATCACATTCCTCTTGCAACTCACATATCGTGTAAACAACACCATCTTCTCCGCAAAGACCCCTCAAGATCTCATCATTCTCTTCAAAAGTCATGACAATGACTTCAAACAAATTGGTTAAACAGCCAACGAAGTTCACCTGTGTGACTCCTTGCTCCAATGAGTTCAACCACATTCTCGTACTCAACCCTCCCTCTCATCGCAATCACCTTCTTCAACGTAGAGCTGGAGACCTTCCTCCTCCCACCCCAACGGAGAGTATAGCCGTACGAATCTCAAGATTGTTTGATGATCCATCTGATCTATAGCTGCCAAGAGATGCTTCCTCGCAATACCTTCAAGCTCTTTCATATACGCAACAAACTGCTCTCTCTCATCAGATCCAAAATCCTCCTACTGCGAAAACCTCTGCACGAATTTTTCTGCGAATTCGTAATCCTCGGATTCCAAACCCGTCTTCACGCCTTCGATGCAATTCCCTTGCTCGAAACTCGCGTCGACACGTGAGAGAGTGACATCGACACGACACTGAGCTAGATCGAGCTCACGTGCCGTGCCGCTGACCTGATCCGCGAGATCACAGGTCAATCCAACGTTCCCGAACGTGTGATCTGTGTCCGCCTTGACGATATCGAGAAGCTCCGATGATCTCTGAAGCTCGACGAGGTTTCAATCAAGCTCCGTTCGCTGAGATAGAAGCGAGTCGAGATCTGAATCTAAGGTGCGTTGGTAAGCGATGCATTCGTCGAGAAGCCGTGTGATTGCACCAACGTCTGTGAGCGAGCGTACGTACTCCAGTGTTTCTGGTGTTACCGAATTTGACGGTGGAGGAATTAACTGACTCCATTGTTGCATCATCTTGTTCGAGCTCCGGCTGTTTCGTAACCGCCATTGATCTAATCGAAGTTATGGCATTCTCGTAATCGGCGAGTAAGAAGATGAAGCCAGTGGCTTAACGATAAATGGGCTTCGGCTAATGCTAGAAGCCTACTACAGGCCCCAAAATTTAAACCAGGCCATAGAACACCCCAGTTCCCACACTTTATTCATTCATATTCAAATTAAGTTTTTCTAAGCTTTGGATTTTCAGATTTAGGCTTTCATTCATTAAGATTTTGTATACTTTAGTATAAATCGGTTAATAATTTATTGTTTTATTTTTCTTAAATAATTTACTGATTAAAAAAATGTAAAGCAAAACCAAAAACCAAATCTAAAAACTAAAATCCAAAACCAAAAGGTGAAAACACATGTTATAATTTTTTGCTTTGTTTATTTACAAAATAAACTATTTCAAATTTCTTTTTTTAAAAATTTGTTGTCATCTTTTCAGTTTTGAATTAGATGTTCGATTATTTGAGATTTGTTTGTTGATAATATTAGTTCAAACTAACTCAGCAGGATTAAAAATTAAAAACCCAAACCAAAAATTATAAATGAAAAGTAGAAACTTAAAAACTAAAAACCAAAAACCAAAAACCAAAATCTAAAAATAAAAACTGAAACTAAAAACTAATGAAAAATAATCATCACCACAAATTTTGGTGAACTGATTTTATATCAAAATATTCTTTAAACTAAGACAAAACCCAATTATATAAATTTTTAATCATAAAAAATTTCTGCGCTTTTAAACGCGGGTCAAAATCTAGTTCATATTCAAATTAAGTTTTTCTAAGCTTTGGATTTTCAGATTTAGGCTTTCATTCATTAAGATTTTGTATACTTTAGTATAAATCGGTTAATAACACTTCTGGTTGATATCATAATTTTTTTTGTAAAATCCATTACAGATTCGAAATCACTTTGGATTCAGTTCAAATCAATAATAATATCCATAAAATAAAAAATAAAAGTTAACTTAATTTAGCATTTTAACTCAAAACAGCCTCACTCATTCAAAAGTTCATTTCATTTCGAGGTAACTTATTTAGTTTCAAGGAAAAATTTCCATACTACCCTAACTTCATGGGAAATTTCAAAACAGCCTCACTCATTCAAAAGTTCATTTCATTTCGAGGTAACTTATTTAGTTTCAAGGAAAAATTTCCATACTACCCTAACTTCATGGGAAATTTCATTTATATCACTTTGGTGATACCACTTTTCATGTTTACCATCAACAAATAAACATTTTCAAAAATACATTTTTCATTAAAGGATAAAAGACACTTACAATTCTTTTTTGAATTATACTATTTTAAAATTCAAACCTTTTAAAATACATTTTCATTAAAGGATAAAAAACACTTACACCCTTGTTCATTTGTTGATGGTAAACATGAAAAGTGTATTTTAAAAGGATAATAATACATTTTTCATTAAATGATAAAATACATTTTTCATTAAAGGATAAAACATTTTTCGTTAAAATACATTTTGCATTAAAATACATTTTTCATTAAAGGATAAAATACATTTTTCATTAAAATATATTTTTTATTAAAGGATAAAATACATTTTTCATTAAAGGATAAAACATTTTTCGAATTATACTATTTTAAAATTCAAACCTTAAACCATAAACCCTAAACCCTATATTTTCTCGGAATATGAACCCTAAACCATCAATACTAAACCATAAACCGTAAAATATCAATTATAAACCCTAAACACTAAAAAATTAACCCAAAACATCAACTCTACACCCTAAAAAGTAAACCCTAAAACATCAATTCTACAACCTAAATGAATATTTTTCATTAAAGGATAGAATACAGTTTTCATTAAAATACATTTTTCATTAAAGGATAAAATACATTTTTCATTAAAGGATAAAATATATTTTTCATTAAAGGATAAAACATTTTTCGAATTATACTATTTTAAAATTCAAATTTTAAACCATAAACTCTAAAGCCTATATTTTCTCAAAATATGAACCCTAAACCATCAATACTAAACCATAAACCCTAAAATATCAATTCTAAACCCTAAACCCCAAAACAATTAACCCTAAACCCTAAAACATCAATTCTAAACCCTAAACCCTGAAAAATTAACCCTAAACTCTAATAAAAATTAACCCTAAACCCTAAAACATCAATTCTACACCCTAAAAAGCAAACCCTAAACCCTAAAAATCAATCCTAAACCCTAAAATATCAATTCTAAACCCTAAACTATAAACCCTAAACCCTAAAAAGTAAACCCTAAACCCTAAAAAGTAAACCATAAACCCTATATTTGAAACCCTAAACCTTAAATTCTATACCCTAAACCCTAAATTCCATACCTTAACCCTAAACCCTAAATTCCATACCCTAAATTCTAAAACCTAAACTCTAAATTTTAATCCCTAGTCCTAAAATTATAAACCCTAAACCCTAAGTTCTAAACCCTAAACTCTAAACCCTAAATTCTTAACCCTAAATCTTAAATTCTTAACCCTAAACCCTAAATTCTAAACACTAAACCCTAATTCATCAAAACTTTATTAAAATTGTTAAGTTTAATTAGTTAAGGGATAATAGTATTTGGCTTGGTTAGTGTAAAGTTGAAAAGTGGTATCTTGAAAGTGTTATTTCTGGCAATTTTCCCATAATTTAATACCATTTTTTAAATTTATCATTAATGAATGATTATTTTCATAAATATTCTTAATTTGTGATAAAATAACACTAAATTAAATTTTCAAACATTTATAGAATATTTATAAACCTAACTTCAATCCCTTAATACTAAATCATAAACAATAATCACTAAATTAAAAATCTAAAATCTAAATGTTAGTATATTTTTTATTTGGTGGTATTTTTGAAAAGTGATATTTTACTTGTGATATTTTTAACGATTCTTAAGTGTCAAATATTCATTCATAATTTTGTGGGAAAATTTCAGTCTATCACAAGTTAGATATTACTTTTTAAATTTACCATTAATGAATGACTATTTTTACAAATACCTTAAATTTCCGTTCTATCACAAATTAGATATTATTTTTCAAATTTACTATTAATGAATGACTATTTTTATATATACATTAAATTTGTGATAAAATAACAGTAAAGTTATTCTTTTTTAATATTTATAGAACAATTATAGATCCAACCATAATTCTTTAATACTAAATCCTAAACTGTAACCAGACGAACCTTAACTAAACTGTTAGTATATTTTTGATTTGTCGTATTTTTAAAAATCTGTAGTTTAACTTGTGGCATTTTTAACAATTTCTCGAACTCAATTTTTTATTTTAATTTTGTGATATCTTTAAATATTTGTTCTAGGTCCAATAATACCCAATATCCAAATTTTTTATTTTATTTTTTGATATCTTTAAATATTGTTCTAGGTCCGATAATACCCAATATCCAACCTAACGTACTGCAGGATCCGTTTGGTAATTTTATGAATTCAAATATTTGGATCAGATTCAATTCGAATCTCAGGTTCAGCTATAGCAGATAAAGATACCTTTATCTTCAAGAAGGAATCTATCTATCTATAAACGTTTCCTATCTCTGGCATTCTTACGTTTCATCTGTAGCTTACTAGAAAGATATGATCCTAAACCGATACCCACATCAACAAGTCTGGTATCACCGCTTATCTCCACTTTCATTGCATCTTCAATAAACATTTTGATCTTCTCAGAGTCATCTTCTTTACAGACCATAGGAATTATCATCTCCCAAGTTTCTGAATGCAAGGTTTCACCATTCTTCATCACAAGCTCCACCACATCACATGCTTCTTCGACTTTCCCAAAACTGCAAAACCCTTTCACCAAACAATTAGAAACCGAAAAATGAGGAGAAAACCCATTCGATATCATCTCATGTAGATACTTCTTGCCTTCCTCAAACATCCCTTGACCACACAACCCCACAATCAATGTCCTATATGAAACCGAATCAGGTGAGCAACTATTACACGACATATAATCAAGAACCTTCCTGGCATCCATAGCACGACCTTGTCTACAGAACCCTAGAATCATCGTTTTGTAATGAACAATATCAGGGTTACAACCTTTCAACTTCATTCTACATAGAAGCTTATAAGCCTCTCTAAGCTGTGTCTTCCTACACAAACTGTTCAACAAAGTAGTGTAACTCAACCTATCGGGCACAAACCCTTTGTTCAACATATCTTCAAGTAACTCCATAGCACCATTGGCTTGCCCTTTCCGACAAAACCCTTGTATCAAAATCCTATAAGACTCTACATCAGGGACAACATCTCTCTCAAGCATTTCACCGAACAGCTTGTAAGCAACACTCAAGTCATCGTTGAGACAAAAGGCTTGCATCAATATGTTGTATGTTGTCGTGTTGGGCATCACACCGTGAAGCCGTGCACTCTTGAAAACCTCAAAAGCTTTGCTGAGATAGCCTCTATGGCTGACGAGGACCTCGAGAATCCGATTCAGATGCTTGGGTTGTGGCGTGAAATTGAATTCGAGCATTTTGTAAAACATTGCGAAAGCTTTCTCCGGCAGCTTGGCTTCGGCGTAGACTTTGATCAGATACGTGAAAAGCTCTCCGGTGACTGGGTAACCGCTCGATCTGTGCTTGGCGAGAACGTCGTCGATGAGGCCCAAGTGTCTAGAGCGGCCGAGTTTGAGGATAAGGACGAGGTGAGAAGATTGAGTGTGGCGGAAATTGGAGTGTTGAGAGGCGTAATCGAATATCTCTTTCGCGAGGAGAGGATCCGATTGCGAAGCTATGAGCTTTTGGACCCGGGTCGGAGATCCGAATGGGGATTTAGGGTTCTGATTTGATTCCATCGGTTCATGGGGACTGTCTTTAGATGAAGAAGAGAATAGAAAACGCGAGAGGGGAGACGTTAGGTGACGAGACACGGCAAAGGAGTTGTAGATCGGCCGCCGAATCATGGTTTGAGTTTTTAATAGTCAGCCGTTGGAAATTGATTCAGGCAGAAATTGAACATACACGACCGCAGTGGTGGACTGGTGGGCGTGGGCGTTCGGATGTCAGATTTGATTTAAGACCATCAGAGCATTTTAGTGTATAGTCTCTAACAAATACTTATGCTAGTATTTGTGTATAATTATTTATCTGCAATCACACTATTAAAAGCTTTAATTCAAGTCTTGTTAGACTGTTAAGCTAGACATAAAATATCAACCAATCAAGGAGAACTTGCCACGTCATATAACTATTGTCGAAAATTAAAAAAAAAGGCTTCTTCTCATACATTCAATTTGCCACGTCATATAACTCTGAGACCTACGAATCTACAATCAACTGCCTCTGCCTCTCCCACTTCTGTCTTCTCCATTACGTTTTCATGAAATCTCTTTTATAGGGACCCATCTATTATTAATCAATTGTGTTCTTTAATCTTCTCATTTATAATCACACACTATTAAAAACTCTAATTCAAGCCTTGTGAGGCTGTCCAGCTGGACATAAAAAATCAACCAATCAAAGAGATTCAATTTGCCACGTCATATAACTATTGTTGAAAATTAAAAAAGGGCTTCTTCTCATATATTCAATTTGCCACGTCATATAACTCTGAGACCTACGAATCTACGATCAACTACCTCTGCCTCTGCCTCTCTCACTTCGTCTTCTCCATTACGTTTTCATGAAATCTCTTTTATAGGGACCCATCTATTATTAATCAATTGTGTTCTTTAATCTCCTCTTTTAGAATCACACATTATTAAAAGCTCTAATTCAAGCTCTGTGAGGCTGTCCAGTTGGGCATAAAAAATCAGCCAATCAAGGAGATTCAATTTGCCACATCATATAACTATTCTCGAAAATTAAAAAAAAAGGCTTCTTCTCATATATTCAATTTGCCACGTCATATAACTCCGAGACTTACGAATCTACGATTAACCGCCTCTTCCTCTCCCACTTCGTCTTCTCCATTACGTTTTCATGAAATCTCTTTTATAGGGACCCATCTATTATTAATCAATTGTGTTCTTTAATCTCCTCTTTTAGAATTTCTTTAATATCCTTTGTTTTTTCTTCTTTGTAAACCCTTCACATAGATTTAATCTAATCAAAAACGAAAACCCCCATTGAAAAGAAGTTGAAGCTATGGCGATGAAACCCACTGGTTATGAAAAGGCTCCCATCGCCACCAGAAAGTCTCCCATGCACTAGGATGTTAACTTCTTTGGCCGGCTGATTGGTTTTGGAACGTACGAACACACATGTCTTTCATATGTTCATGTCTGCCTTCTTTAGGTTCATTATATTTTTTTTTAAAAAATATATCAACCTTAATTTACGGGTTCTTCTAATGGTTTCATTTTCCAAGCGTTAACCATTCGAACTATTTGTCATCTCAGCCATTTGATTGTGGCAATGGTCTGTGGATGCATTCTCCAAAGCCTTATGCTCTTGATTAAACAGCTTCAATTAGGAAAAAGATACAGCCTGAGGTATGAGAATCTTATTACAAAACAAAACAAAATAGAAAGAATCCTTAATCTCTTTTCCGAGCATTTTGTGGTATCTGATTTTGAATGGCGTTGATTTTCTTTATGTAAGGATGATTGAGAACTTATGAGTGTTGATATGCTTTTCCTAGATGAGTAGGTAATTCCAGAGAGCTCAAACTTTATTTATATATATTTTTACACATATTAAGAGTCACTACTTGGTATTTGATTACTATTTCTTTCAAACAGTCCACGGTTATTCACCAAATTGGACTGGTAAACTTGCAAGATATACTTGACGAGTTAACCGCTATCAGGAGCACCATTAATGACGCAGGAGATGGTTCTCATGCTTACACTATGTATAAAAGGTATTTGCTGTAGATAAAACTCAATTGTGAATAATAGTTTTGGACTTGCAGTTCACACTTGGGCGTGGATGTATGTGTTAGCCTGGTTGACGGTTGAGCTTTCACATTTCATGCGAAGATGACAAGCTACGAGGCTGAACCAAAATTTGTGTTGATTACTAGCATAAATCCTAAGGTTGTTGGAGGTGAGTTTACCTATAATTGATGTGAGTGATATCTTCGTTACCTTGGATTTGATGTGTTGTGTTGATTCATAGCCTTGGGTCTTTGAAGCTATGTACTAACTTATGACCTTCAATGGTTAACAGGTTGGAAAAGCTGGTGGAGAGAAGTGGAAATCATTGGTCGACGCTGTGCGTACTCTAACCCACAGTTGAATGTATTTGAGTAATTATTGACCTTTCGAGTTATATAAATATTACAGGAGAGGCTCTTTACGTAGCTAAGGCTGATAAGCGCAAGGTTAAGTACGAGAAGACCATGAAAGCCTACAACAAGAAGCTGGTATGTTTTTTTTTAGTATGCAACATACACTAATCCTATAATCATGAGAGCATGTTCTATGTTATTCAACAGTGGTACTGATTGACATGACATTGATGTTGTTGGTGTTTTCAGAAGGAAGGTCCAAAGGAGGGCGAGGAATTTGACAAGTCCGTTTCTGAGGTTAGTGAAGAGGCGAATGCGGATAATAGGAGTGATGAGGTTAGTTCCTTGATTCTGTTAAGTTCTTTAACATCATTATTTGTACATTGCTTTCACTACAAGAAAACTAAGAAGTTACTAGGAAATTTTACCAGGAAAATAATTCCTCGTAAATTTACTACGAACTTACTTCGATTTTATGAGGAAAACTTGTTTCCTTGTAAGTTCCTCGTACAGCTACGAGAAACAGATTTCCTCGTAACACCGTAGTAAGCTTACGAGGAAATTACGTGGCAAAAGTCCATTTCCTCGTAAGCCCGTAGTAAGACAGTTTCCTCGTAAAGTCCTAGTAAAGCCTTACTACGAAATTAAGAGGAATATATTTGTTACTGCAAAATTAGGAGGAACTGGATAGAAAATATCGAATTTAAATCAAAAACGTGTTTTGTACCTACATTTCCTAGCAATTTCCTAGTAAATGCTCAGATTCAAAAATTTCTGTAAATACCACAATTGTGATTCATTTGAAACACACCAAAAAATAATCAGCTATAAGCTTGATCAACACACAAAAAATATGTCCGGTCCGAGAAATATTTTTGAGTTGCAGAAGTGGTTGTATTCACACAAAGATAATAACGGGAGGGTGACGAAAGAATTTCTCGAGGGGTTGGAGACGTTTATGCATCAAGCAGATTCTGCACCACTCACACATGAAAGTGGTAAGATGTTATGTCCTTGTCGGAAATGCTGCAAAACAAAATTAGGCCCTCGTGAAAATGTTTGGAAGCATTTAATAAATAGAGGTTTCATGCCATATTATTATATTTAGTATCAACATGTAGAAGACGATGCTAGTTGTAGGTATGAAGGTAGCAGTAGTAATATCAATTTTCAGGTTGAACCGGTTGATCATATGCGTAATGAAAATAGCTATCATCACCAAGAGGAACAAATGGTAGATTGTGATAGGGTTCATGATATGGTAGGTGATGCATTTGTAACTCTTGATGATGATGAAGTTGAAGAACCTAACGTAGATGCAAATTTTTTTTTGAAATGTTAGATGCTCGAATGAGCCAATTTACAGTGGTTGTAGAGAAGGTCTGTCTAAATTGTCGTTGGTTGCTAGAATGATGAGTATTAAAACCGATCACAATCTACCTGAAAATTGTATGGATGCATGGGCAGACTTGTTTAAAGAGTATTTGCTAGAAGACAATGTGTCTGCTAAATCTTATTATCAGATTCGGAAATTGGTATATAGTCTTGGGTTGCCCTCGGAGATGATAGACGTTTGCATCGACAACTGCATGATTTACTGGGGAGATGATGAGAAGTTAGAAGAATGTCGATTTTGTAAGAAGCCACGATTCAAACCGCAAGGTCGAGTGCGTAATAGGGTACCGTACCAAAGGATGTGGTACCTACCAATCACAGACAGATTGAAAAGATTGTACCAATCTGAGGAGACTGCTGGAGGGATGAGATGGCACGCCGAGCATACTTAGACGGATGGAGAGATGACTCATCCATCATATGCAAGAGCCTGGAAACATTTTAACAATGTACATCCACATTTCGCTAGCAATAGCCAGAATGTGTATATTGGATTATGTACTGATGGATTTAGTCCATTTGGAATGTCTGGGAGACAATATTCATTGTGGCCGGTCTTTCTTACACTGTATAACTTGCCACCGGAGATGTGCATGCGACGAGAGTTTCTATTCATGACCATATTAATACCTGGTCCAAAACATCCAAAAAGATCTCTCAACGTTTTTATACAACCACTGATAAAAGAGTTGAAAGATTTGTGGTCAACAGGGGTGAGGACATATGATTGTTCAACGAAAACAAACTTTACGATGCGAGCGATGCTTTTGTGGACCATAAGTGACTTTCCTGCATATGGGATGTTGTTTGGGTGGACTACACATGGGAGAATAGCTTGTCCATATTGTAATGGAATGACAGATGCGTTTCAGTTGAAGCATGGTAGGAAGACTAGTTGGTCGATTATCACCGTCGATTTCTTCCCGTTTACCACCCATACCGAAGAAACAAGAATTTGTTCAGGCACAAAAGGGTTGTTAGAGACACTCCTCCTCCATATTTAATTGGAGAACAAATCGAAGTGCAAATCGATTACTACTGTGCTCTAGATACAGCTCCTCGTGGTGGGAATTGGCATGTTCCCATTAATATGCCTGATTCTTATGGTGTTCAGCACAATTGGCACAAAAAGTGTATATTTTAGAAATTGCCATATTGGAAAGATCTTCTTTTGCGCCACAACCTCGATGTGATGCATATTAGAGAAGAACTTTTTTGAGAACATTGTGAACACTATATTGAATGTCCCAGGGAAGACGAAAAACAACGTAAAATCAAGGTTGTACTTACCCGATATTTGCTCAAGGAGTGAGCTACATATAAAAAGCAATGGGCAAGTTCCAGTTCCAATATTCAGACTGTCATCAGAAAAAAAGTCTGCGTTGTTCAACTGGGTGGCTTCAGAAGTGAAGTTCCCTGATGGGTATGCTTCAAATCTCCCAAGATGTGTTGAGAAAGGACAAAAGTTCTCCGGGATGAAGTGCCATGATTGTCATGTCTTTATCCAGCGACTACTTCCCTTTACGTTTGCGGAGCTACTACCGGCAAAAGTACATGAAGCACTTTCAGGTAATTAATTAATATAATACGATGATATGATTAATTTATTTCTTTATATATATATATATACTAATGTGGATAATTTTTTTTTTTTTGTAATATATAAGGAGTTGGAGCATTTTTTAGGGATCTAAGCACCCGCATTCTTAAAGTGGAAGTTGTCCAACAACTTCATGAAAACATCCCCGTCTTAATCTGCAACTTGGAGAAAATATTTTCGTCTATTTTTTTCGATTTCATGGAACACCTAGTTGTCCACCTCCCGTATGAGGAATTACTTCGTGGACCTGTGCATTATGGATGGATGTATCAGTATGAAAGGGCCATGAAAACTTTGAAAGGAAAAGCCAAAAACCTAACTTTGAAAGGAAAAGCCAAAAACCTAGCAAGAGTTGAAAGTTCTATTGTTGCGGGAAGTTTGACGAAAGAAACATCACATTTCACATCATACTACTTTGCACCAAAAGTACGTACAAGGAACGAGCTCCAAGAAGATATGATGATGGTGGTGTCGTGGCGACATATATGGAAGATGATGTTCCAGACATCTTTTGTCAAATTGGGCGATTGGGTGGGAAATTGAAAGAGGTTTGGTGGTCGAGTGATGAAGACGTCCATAGTGCACACCTTTATATTTTTCTTAATTGTGAGCATCCATTGATTGCTTATTTTAAAAGGTAAATATATAAACATACACACTTATATATGTATATATATATATATATATATATTTTTTTTTTTTCAATATTAAATATATAAATAACATATATGATTTTACAGCCAATTTGTGACTCAAGTCGAGAAAACAATACCTGGTATATCGACAACTGAGTTAGACAAAAGGAAAGATCAACACTTTATCAAGTGGTTGAGGAAAAATGTATTTATTTATTACTTAAATTGTATGCATACATTACCACAACGTAAGTCTAATGTCTAGTTATATTACTTTTTGTTGCAGGTTGATTATGACGATCCTGAGTATCCCGTTTCGCGAATTACTTCAAGGTCCAGTTGCAAAGGTCACTACATCATCGATGTATTTCACCGAGGCTATATTTTTCATACCTATGACTATGGTAGACACCGGGCGACAAGTAATTATGGAATATGTGTGAAAGGCGAAACAGATTTCCACGGGATCTTGAAGGAGATTTATGAAGTTCAATTCCCAGGTATGAGTTTGAAATGCGTTATCTTCAAGTGTGAGTGGTACGACCCGTCGTCAACAGAGGTGTTCGGATTAACAAGAACGGTGTAGTTGATGTCAATGGTGGACGAAGGTACAAAATTTTTTTTTTTTAATATCCAGGTTTCGAGTATTAATTAATTTTTACATTGATCTTTATTTTTGTAGGTACAACAAGTTCGAGCCTTTCATATTAGCTTTCCAAGCAGATCAAGTTTGCTTCATTCCATACCCTCAGATTACTACCTCGGGAATAAACTGGTTAGCTGTTATCAAAGTTACACCTCGAGGACGAATAATCGCTGGAGAAGAACCACCATTACAAGTAGAAAACACCAATGGGATCGAGGAAGCTGAAGCAGAAATTGATGACATCCTACTCATTGATCCGCATAATCGTGAATACGAATATGTTCCTGATCACTCAACGGACGAAGGTGTAGACGACGAGTTTTTAGAAAATGATGATGTTTCAACTGATTACGAGAATGTATCCGAATGAATTATGTATGTTTATAAGTTTGTTTAATCACAAAAATTAATTTGGATTATATATGTTTTAAGTTTGTTTAATCACAAAATCGATTTGCATTTGGGGTTTGGGGTTTATGTGTAGAAGAGGTTACGAGTTTGGTTGTAGAAGAGGTTATAAGTTAAGGAAGTTGTGGTTTGGGGTTTCGAGTTTAGGGATTTACAAACACTTTCCTCGTAAAGCTCTAGTAATAGAAAACATGGGCATAGCCGTTTCCTCGTAAAGTCCTAGTAATACCTTACTAGGATTTTACGAGGAAAAAAACGCGGGCATAGCTATTTCCTCGTAAAGCATTTTCCTCGTAAAGTCCTAGTAATGGTATTACTAGGACTTTACGAGGAAATAAAAACACGGGCATAGCTATTTCCTCGTAAAGGCCTAGTTATCTTACTAGGCTTTACGAGGAAACAAAATTCCTTATATAAACTCGAGCAATCCGATTTCTCATTTGTAATAAACTTCTCTCTGAATTCTCTTAAGGTTCTCTCTATTTCCTAGTTAGGTGATTAGATTAGGGAATTTAGATTAGGTGGTTAGTTTAGGGAATTTAGATTAGGTGGTTAGTATAGGTAATTTAGATTAGGTTGGTTTACTTTTTTTAACTGTTTTTTTTTATTATACGGGAATTAATGTTTTGTTTTTTTAAAAAAAAAAATTAGA